ACACACACACACACACACACACACACACTATCTCTCTCTCTATCTCTCTCTCTCACACACACACACGCACACACACACATTCTCTCTCTCTCTCTCTCTCTCTCTCTCTCTCTCTCTCTCGCTCTCACACACACATACACACACACACATTCTCTCTCTGTCTCTCTCTCTGTCTGTCTGTCTGTCTCTCTCTCTCTTTCTCTCTCTCTCTCTCTCTCTCTCTCTCTCTCTCTCTCACACACACACACACACTCACACGTACACACCTGCTCCTCGGTCATTAAAGACTTGTTGTAGTCGAAAAGCGCGTTGAGAAAACCCCCCTCGTTGTTGACCACACTGACCAAATAATCTTTTTCATAGAAGCCAATACTCTCCAAGTACGCCGAGTCCGAGAACAGATCTTTGATCTAGGAAAGTGTACACACAAAGTTGGGGAGGGGGGATTAGGGGTATGGTGTAAGATTAGTAAGCATTTCATGATACTAGCAACAGAATTAGGTCATATCAGAGCCGAAGATTTGAGGTGTTGCAAGAGACTAACAAACAGCCCCCCCCCCCCCTCCGAACTACCTTCTATCCAGTTGAGCACGCTTATCCAAGCACAGATAATTGAGTTTACATAGACAAAAAAGGGGATTCCGGTAAGTCCCGCTGTAGGGATGGTCCGACAGAAGCGGGTGCCGCTATAGTCATGTTCTACTGTATCCGTTAGGCTACAGGACTCGAAATCGTGAGGTTGCGGGTTCAGGGGTTCGAGCTACGGGCCCAACATTGGGTCTTTGGGAAAGGCCCTTTACATTTAATTGTCCTCACTTCACCCAGGTGGGAATGGGTACACGGCCATAGACAGCGAAAGATATTGTCAGTATGTTAGTGTTTTAGCGCCTATAAATGGCCGCTTGCACTGTACCGCTTTCTATACTCCGTATAGTGTGCAGGTGTTGTGCTCAAACCGACAACCCAGCCCTGGGTTTGTTGAATAATATGTATGTATATCGCATAGTATGCTTCCTAGGAAGTTGAGGTTGTTTCAGAATGTTCTCAGGTCTGCTGGGGTAATAGTATAGATTGTAAAGCGTATAGAGCTTGCTGTTGAGCGGGGATTGTTGCTATACAAATGCTATCTATTATTATGAAAAGACACTGTAAATAACTCACTTGCTATACAAATGCTACCTATTATTATGATAAGACACTGTAAATAACTCACTTGCTATACAAATGCTACCTATTATTATGATAAGACACTGTAAATAACTCACTTGCTATACAAATGCTACCTACTATTATGAAAAGACACTGTCAATAACTCACTTGTTTCGGTAAAAGATCTCCGTCCACCACGGGCCCACAAGACGGCAAATTTCCCAAACCTTCCAGGGATGCGAACCTGTCCTCCGGCAGTCGCCTCAAACAGTCTAACACCGCCTCCCATTGGTCAGATGTCTGGGGCGTGGGGGCCGACTCACACAGACACTTTTCGCGTCTGGAACAGAAAGTTTTTTTGTTATTTGGTAACTGTTTTACGGCGCTCGCAACTGCATAAAGTCATATGAGCGCGCGGGACACGTTAAACATTTTCAGTTCGTAGGAAATTTTGAATTTCCACGGGTGGCAGCCGAATTATTTGTGTCAGTACACGGTGGAATCAGGCGCCCGTCAATGTTTGAGCATGTGGAGTTATTGGCATCATCTGAAAGCTGATTTATGAGCCTTGCTTCTTATGAAATAACGTTTCTACTTATCTTGAACAGAACTCAAGATATCTGCTTTTGAAGGAAGTGACGTCACCTGGTTTCAGTTGTGAAATTAGCGAGAAAGTGGCAACTCAAATAGCTAAGAAGCCTTTGAAAACTTAAAAATGACATATTTTGTGACTTTAATCAATGTTTTTCAGTAAAATTCACAAGGATATGTGTTTTTATATGGAAATAAAAGAGGTTCAGTCAAAAAAGTAAAAATTTCATATAAATTTCTGAACTAGTGGGAAAATGTCTGTTTCTCCGATTTCGTTATTTTGAAGAGCGCCTGATTTCAACACACTGCCTCACATTTATTTATTAATTCATTTAGTATTTTAGAAATTTATTATCCTTTATCTATTTCATTTTTCAATTAAATAAAAAAAAAATATTTATATATAAAACGATTCATGTATTTATTTACTTATTTATTTATTTATTTGTTTATTATTTTTTATTTACTTGTTTACTTATTCATTTACTGTGTGTGTGTGTGTGTGTATGTGTGTGTGAGTGTGTGTGTGTGTGTGTGTGTGTGTGTGTGTGTGTGTGTGTGTGTGTGTGCCTGTCTGTCTGTCTGTCTGTCCGTGTGTGTGTGTGTGCGTGTGTGTGTGTGTGTGTGAGTGTGTGTGAGTGTGTGTGTGTGTGTGTGTGTGTGTGTGTGTCTGTGTGTATTTCTTGAGGCATCAATTTAACCACAAATTTTTAGGTAATGTTTTAGCCGCTGAAACTAGACCAGTTGTGGCAGCGTTATGTGCTGTAATATGGGAGTTGGATTCTATCACGTCTGGGTTTTGTATTTCTCTAAACACAATTAATTACAGCTGAGAGGTTAGTTTTTTAGTAGAGATTTTACGGCGCTCGGAACTACATAAGATCATATGAGCGCCAGAAGATTAGAGGTGTTACAAGAGAGAAACAAACATAAAAAAGAAGAAGGGGAGATAAGGACGATAGATGTTTCATAGAAAAGAAGGAGCAAACCACACCAGAGCACCCGCCAACCACCCACGCTGAGAGGTTATGTAGCTATCGTTTCTGTAAATACGAATACCACACAACGGACAGGTTGAGATTATTTTTTTCCCTCTGGATA